GGGACCCTTCTGAAACGTCAGCTTTCCTGCTCCTCTGATGCTGCCTGGCCTGCTGTGTTCCTCCAGCTCCACACTGTGTTATTTCTAACACTCACTTCCTTACTATGGTTAGCATGGTTTTCCACTATGGGGTTTAATTAACCCAGTTGTTTGACAATCCTTAACTTCTAGGTTTCTTTTCTTGTTAGGGATCATTCAGGTTTTAAAGTTATTAATCTAAAATTTTCAAACTGCTTTCGTGTATACAATAAAATCCATAGGACAGCAAGCAAAACATTCAGCTCATCAAGTCTGACCCATCACTGAATGAGATCATGATTGATCTGATAATCTTCAACTCTTACTTTATTCCCACAACTGTTGATTTCCGTATGGATTTAAAATCTATTGATCTCAGCCTTGAGGTACTTAATGATTCAGCCTCAACAGGCCTCTATGGTAAAGAATTCCACACAAAGACCACATTGAGAGAAGAAGTTCCTCCCCATCTCTGCCTTTAATGTGCGGCCCCTTATTCTGAGATTATGACCTCTGATCCTAGACTATTCCATGAGAGGAAATAACCCTTCCACATCAACCCTTTCAGATCCCCTAAGAATTTTGTATGTTTCAATAAGGTCGTCTCTCATTCTTTGAAACTCCAACGGGTCCAGGCCCAAACTACTCAACTTCTTATAAGAGAGTTCGTCCATACCTCGGACCAGCCTAGTGAACCTTCTCTGTGCTGTCTCCAGTGCCAATCTATCTTTCCTTAGAACTAGAATATCCTTTATCGTCTATCCTTGGATAAGGAGAACATAAGAATATAAGAAATAGGAGCAGGAGTAGGCCATCTGGCCCATCGAGCCTGCTCCGCCGTTCAGGAAGATCATGGCTGATCTTTTCATGGGCTCAGCTCCACTTACCTGCCCGCTCACCTTAAACCTTAATTCTTTTACTGTTCAAAAATCTATCTATCTTTGCTTAAAAACATTCAACAAGACAGCCTCAACTGCTTCGTTCGGCAGGCAATTCCACAGATTCACAACCTTTTGGGTGAAGAAGTTCTTCCTCAACTCAGTCCTAAATCTGCTCCCCCTTATTTTGAGGCTATGCCCCCTCATTTTAGTTTCAAGCGTCAGTGGAAACAACCTCCCTGCTTCCATCTTATCTATTCCCTTCATAATTTTATATGTTTCTATAAGATCCACCTCATTCTTCTAAATTCCAATCAGTTAAAACTATTCAGTGTTCCTGCTGTGATCCGATTAGTGCCTTGTACAGTTTTAGCAAAAACCTTCCTATTTTTATACTCCATTCCCTTTGAAATATAGGCCAGTTTTCCATTTGCCTTCTCTATTACCTGCTGAACTTGGATGCATGCTTCTTGTGATTTATGCATGAAGACTCCCAAATCCCTCTGTTCTGCAGTTTTCTGCAGTCTTTCTCCATTTAAATAATAGTTAGTTCTTCTATTCTTCCTGCCCAATGCTTACAATCTCACATTTTCCCACATTATATTCCACCTGTCAAGTTTCTAACAACTCCTTAACCTCTCTAAATCCCTCTGCAGTATCTTTGTATCAGCTTCACTGTTTGCCTTTCCACCTATTTTCGTGTCATTTGCGAACTTCACTACAGTACATTCACTTTTCTCATCCAAGTCATTAATTTGCCTGGTAAGTAATTGTGGCCCAGCACTGGTCCCCGTGGCACTCACTATTTATAGGTTTCTATCTGAAAAATACCATTCCCCCATCTCAACATTATTAACCTTCTAGAATGGGAAAAAGTCGGCTAGTTGTTAGAACTGCTATTGATGGAAGAAATTAAAACCTGAAATTAAGGAAAAACTTACTTTTCATCAAGGAATTTGGAATGCATATGGAATACAATCAGTGAGAGAAGGATTTATATAAGGTACCTGTAGTAAGTTGAAGGGGCTGAATGGTCATTGCCTGTTCTTCCATTCTTTATTCATTCATGAGAATGTGAACATTGTTGGTGAAGCATTTATTGCTCATTCCCAAATTCCCTTGTTCTGAGTAGCTTACTTAGCCGTTCGGAGGGTAGTTAAGAGTCAACCACATTGCTGTGGGTCTGGAGTCATGTGCAGGCCAACCCGGGTAAGGATGGCAGATTTCATTCCCTTAAGGGCATTAGTGAACCAGATGGGTTTTTTTAAAACAATAATTGATGACATTTGATATGGTCACTATCACTGAGAATAGCTGTTCCGGGTTTATGAAATAAATTCAAATTTCACTAATTTATTAATCCAGTGACATTACCACTACACCATCATCTTCCCCTTTACAACCATTAAATCAAAACCCAATAATGTTGATCTTCCCCAAAGACTATGAATTATTATTGGTTTAGAGAATTGTCAGTTCCAGTCATCACCTGCCGATCTGAACAGTGAAAGGCCAAGGTATTAAAAGGTTTTAAAGGGATTTGGGGGAAGTGCACAGAAATGCCAGAATCTAGTTGAATGGCGAGCAGGCACAATGGGCTGAATGGCCAACTTCTGCTTCTATTTCCTATTCTATTACACACAGCCTGGGCAAATGAGAGAAGACACATGTACCTGCAATATGCTCATCCAGATAGCCAGCACAAAGGGCAGGGGAGTCTTCAAACAAGCAGTGCTCAAAGGTATTTCAATTGGGAAGGCACTTATCCATAAAGGGCCCTGAAGGACAATCTCAAACGAAATGAGTACTGAGAGGGAGGATCCAATTTTTATTTTTAAAAGACCAACCACTGTGTGTGCATATGTATAGGAGAGAGATCCTCTTCATTGTGAATCTTGTCAGGCCATTTGACTAGGGAAGTCATCACTGCCAAGCCCCATAATGTCCTCTTCCAGTGGCCACACATTCTTCTCGGGGGTCATAAAGTCATACAGCAGGTATATAAGCCCTTCGGCGCACCATGTCTATGCCTACCACTAATACTAAACTGCATTAATCCCATCTACCTGCACTTGGTCCATAGCCTGCTACACCCTGGCATTTTAAGTACTCATTCAGATGCTTCTTCAATGTTGTAGGAATTTACCACCTTCTCAGGCAGCACGTTCCATATTTCTACTGCCCTTTGGGTGATCACCAGATTGCCTTTAAACCACTTGCTTCTCACCTTAAACCTACGCCCTCTGATCTTAGGCACCTCTGCTGTGGGGAAGGGATTCTCGTGATTTACTCTGTCTGTGCCTCCCATAATTCTGTACGCCTCAATCAGATACCCTCTTCAGCCTCCTCTGCTCCAAGGGAAACAAACCCAGCTTAGCCAGTCTCTCCTCATAACTGAGACTTTTCACCCCAAGCAACAGCTTGGTGCATCTCCTTCTCCAATGCAATCAAGTCTTCCAATTGTGTGGTGTTCAGAACTGCACAGCTTTCCTTATATGGCCTAACCAATGTTTCATAAACTTGTAACAACACTTCTTTGTTCCTATATTCTATGCCCTGGCTAATGAAGACAAGCATCCCATATGACTTCTTCATCACCCTGTCTAGCTGAAGGGATCTATGGGCTTGTACAACAAGGTTCCTTTGTTTGTCAGTACTACTTAGAGACCTACTATTCATCATGTATTTCCGTCCCTTGTTAGACCTCCCAAAATGCATCACCTTGCATTTATCAGGATTAAATTCCATCTGCCATTGCTCTACTCAATTTACCAGCTGATCAACATCAGACTGTAGCTTGAGATCATCCTTCTCACAATCAACAACACCACCAATTTTTGTGTCATCTGTAAACTTACTAATTATACCTTCTGCATTCACATCGAAGTCATTAATGTACATAAGAAACAGAAAAGTCCCTGCACTGATACCAGGCTTCCAATTACAAAAACAACTCTCCACCATCACCCTTTCTTCCTATTTGCAAGCCAATTTTGGATCCAGTTTGTCAACTTGCCTTGGATCCCATGGGCTTTTACCTTTGGACCAGCCTTCCATGTGGAACCTTATTGAAGGCCTTACTGAAGGCCGTGTAAACCACATCAACTGCCCTACCATCATTAATATATTTAGTCACCTTTTAAAAAAAACCTCAATAAATTAGTAAGACTGGTCCTGCCTCCAAGAAATCCATGCTGACTATCCCTGACCAATCCCTGCCTTTCCAAGTATTGATTAACCCTGACCTTTATGAATTTTTCCAATAAGTTCGCCACCACTGACATCAGACTAACTAGTCTGTAATTACCTGGCCTTGGTCTTCTGCTCTTTTGAACAAAGGAATAAGATTCTTTGCTAATTTTATTTGGTGCTGCCTAACTGAAGACATCTTTGGACTGAGTCATCTCTGAGCTGCCTGGGCTGGCAATCACAGCTCCCAGTCTATATAACGTCCTGCTGCACCTCACACCATTCTTTCCCAATGAACATCAAGAGGTTTGAAAGATTTTAGGGAAAATCAACAAGAATCTAAGTTGAGGAAGAATCAAGATAGTCAAAGAGTCTCTTTACTTCCTTCCCTTAATTAAATAACAGAGAAGTTGCAGATTACACTTACCTTGAGACAATTGAACTGTACTTCTGCAAAGTGTAAGAAGATAAAATTAAAAGATTTAAGAGAGATAAATACAGAAAAACTTAGAGTTAACTCTCATCTACCTTAATTGTAGAACACATATCCACATTCTTAGGCCACACACCCTTCAAATCTGAGATGGGAGTTGGGGGATTTGTCACTAACCACTGCTGATAGCATATTGAACAATCTCAAAATCCACGCTGGGCTGAATTTTATCAGCTGTGTTAAAATCCCAATGTTGGCTCCAGTTCTAGGCTGGAACCCAGAAGTAGTTGTCAGGTTTTCCTATGCTTTATGGAATTTTCCTCTATTTTAACTGACCCATGTCCCTAAGGAGCACTTTTAGTTCTGAATTTCTCGAACAGCCTGTAGGAGACTGAGCCTGGGATTCTTGATTCAATAATTTGATCAGTAGAGAGAAGACAGTGGTGTAACTCCAACATTGTAAATTTTGGTCAGATTAAACCCACCATCCACCAGAACACCTCCTTCATTCCTGTCCCATTGTCACCCTCACCAGAAACATCCCCACTCCACCTGCCTCCATTCAATTGGTCACCAGCACTCCCAACATCTAGGTCCCATGGTTGAAGAATCCCTTATTTTATTTCATAAAGATTGGTCACTCTGGTAGTGGTGGCCAATCATTGGTCGCAATCTTAGAAGCATAGGATTGGAGTAGGACATTCAATCCATCAAGCCCTACCCGCCATTCAATATGATGATGACTTATCTTCCTGCTGGTGGCCAGTAATGGAGTCAGTTACAGGTGCCAAGTCTAATTTGGCATGGCAGTGGACTGGAGAAGGAGGGGCCTAATGGGAGGGCCAGCAGTGACTAACAGTTCCATTTGGAGAGATGTGCATTGCTGGAGGGGGCAGGAGGAGACCTGGAGGATAGCTCAAAATAGAAGAGCTCATGAAGATCTCCTTTCTCAGCTGTGATAGTGGAAGGCTGTGAGAACCTCAAGACGGAAGAATGCTTGTGACTGCTCCTGGGCCCCTGAGAGCCCGGTGGCCCTCCCAATGCTACTGAAGTGCTCTCTCCTTTGGAATTTGGAACTAAGTAGGTACTTAATTGGTTATCTGCTGCTGGGGTATTAGGTTTCAGGTTTCAACAGATCTGTCAATCAGTGTATTATTATTGTTAATCAATATATTTATATTTATATCATTGATATAAAAATAAGCATATGAGGATTCTGGAGCAAATTTGGCTTTACAATATGATCAAGAAACTCCACAATGTAATGCTGGACACATTGGTGATGGTGCTGGATCCAGTGTATCCCCAATTACAAAGGGCATCAATCAAAGCTCTCTGCTCATCCTCTGCCTCTTCGCTTTGTTTATTTTCCAGCCAAGCTGGTTAATTGCACAGCTGATACACCTGACAAGGGTGCCTGGACCAGGTAAAAATCCGAAAGAACTGCGGATGCTATAAATCAGGAACAAAAACAGAAGTTGCTGGCAAAGCTCAGCAGGTCTGGCAGCATCTGTGAAGAAAAAGAATCAGTTAACATTTCGGGTCCAGTGGCCCTTACTCAGAACTTGTGAGAAAGGGTCATTGGACCCTAAATGTTAACTCTGATTTTTTCTTCACAGATGCTGCCAGATCTGCTGAGCTTTTCCAGTAACTTCTGCCTGGACTGGGTGGCTGTCTCAATAAACAGTTGCAGTTGTACATATTCTATGATTTTACAGACTTTATCCATTAAGTTAGAGAGGACAATTATCATGCTATATCTGTGTTACCCTGGTGCATATGTGGATGGTGAGCTTCCATGCTGACAGGTGAGTTTTGAAAATCATGGAAATGTCGATCATTAAAGTGAGATCAATCTCTAGTCAATCAGTTTGTTAGGACAACCATAACGATGTACCAAATTGCATCAGATCAGCTTTACAATGAATTCAATTTCACTGAAGGGTACCATAAAGCTAAACACTGTGGGGTTATGCACTCTCACCAAATTTTTCCCATTCTTAACCAGGACAGCTCAGGTCACCATGGCATTTAAATTTAAGATAAAGTAATACATCAAAATCCAGGGACTTAGCATGAAATATATGACTAAAAATCAAACTAATTGTGTAATTATGCATTACCCCGTCCCCTAAGTACAAGGTGTGTCATTCAGTAATGCTGAGTTAAATGTAACTATTTCATCAGTGAAGTGTGAATTTCCATATATTCTTCATCTTTAGCTCTCAATTGCTTAGGTGTAGAATCATAGAATCCCTACAGTGTGGAAACAGGCCCTTCGGCCCAACAAGTCCACACTGAACCTCACAGCATCCCACCCAGACCCATCCCGCTATAACCCATCTAATCTACATCTCTCTGAACACTATGGGCAATTTAGCATGGCCAATCCACCTAACCTGCACATCTTTGGACTGTGGGAGGAAACTGGAGCACCCGGAGGAAACCCACGCAGACACGGGGAGAATGTGCAAACTCCACACAGACAGTCGCCCGAGACTGGAATCAAACCCGGGTCCCTGGCGCTGTGAGGCAGCAGTGCTAACCACTGTGCCACCGTGCAACCCCAAGGAAATGGGGAAATGGAACAAATGCATCAAACCAAGATCCTACAACAGGGTTCAGTCTGCACAGTATTTCTTGTTCCTTTGTGTTCTAATTTTGTATAACCCAAACCAGAATGCCATAAGGGATCATGTGAATGACATTTCAGGATGGAATTAGAATTGGTAGACATTCGAGTTGGATATCTAACTTTATACCACTATTGTATCTGCACCCCAAACCTTTCCATTAATCTTTTGAAGTTTCTTTTCTATTTCTTTCTTTCTAAAACACAAACTATTCCTTCTACTCAATTGTCTCTTTAGCAATCTCTTAACCAAGCAAGAATTGAAGATGATTAATTTTACTTACTTGGATGAAATCTAAGTGATTTTCATTGCTCAATTTCTTCAATGAAGCCTCAACTTCAGCAAACTGTTTTAAAGATTTGGACATCTCTGCCAATTGTTCATCAATTGATTCAACGGCAGAAGTACATTTTAACTGTACGGTCTCAATGATGTTGGCCTCTTCATCATCAACAAAACTCCTGAGTTCCTGGAATTCCTTCTGAATCACCAACTTAAAGACGTCAGATTCATTCTGAAGAAATACAGATAGCATTAAATATGGGATTCTCCAGAAAACTGAAGGAAATACTAGAAGTATAAAAAGCCAGAAGGCAGAAAGAGAGGTCATGGAGGAGGGTTTCTTCAATGAGTCAGTATGGGTGGAAGTCAGAAACAGGAAAGGAGTAGTCACTTTATTGGGAGTTTTCTATAGACGCCCCCCAATAGCAAACAGAGGCACTGAGGAACAGATTGGGAGACAGATTTTGAAAAAGTGCAGAAGTAATAGGGTTGTTGTCATGGGGAACTTCAACTTCCCTAATATAGACTGGAACCTCTGAAGTACAAATAGTTTGGATGGAGCAGATTTTGCCAGGTGTGTCCAGGAAGGATTTCTGACTCAATATGTAGATAGGCCGACTAAAGGGGAGGCCATATTGGATTTGGTGCTTGGCAACGAACCAGGCCAGGTGTTGGATCTCTCGGTGGGACAGCATTTCAGAGATAGTGATCACAACTCCCTGACCTTTACAGTAGTCATGGAGAGGGAAAGGTGCAGACGGTATGGGAAAGTATTTAATTGGGGGATAGGGAATTACAATGCTATTAGGCAAGAACTACAGAGCAGCAACTGGGATTAGATGTTCTCAGGGAAATGCACGACAGAAATGTGGAGGTTGTTTATGGAGCAGTTACTACAAGTACTGGATAGGTTTGTCCCACTGAGGCAAAGAAGGGATGGTAAGGTGAAGGAACCTTGTATGAATCATAGAATCATAGAATCCCTACAGTGTGGAAAGAGGCCCTTCGGCCCAACAAGTCCACACCGATCCACAGAGCATCCCGCCCAGACCCATTCCTCTACAAACCCACCTAACCTACACATCCCTGAACACTACGGGCAATTTAGCATGGCCAATTCACCTAGCCTGCACATCTTTGGACTGTGGGAGGAAACCAGAGAACCCAGAGAAAACCACGCAGACACAGGGAGAATGTGTAAACTCCACACAGACAGTCGCCCGAGGGTGGAATTGAACCCGGGTCCCTGGTGCTGTGAGGCAGCAGTGCTAACCACTGAGCCACCGTGCTGCCCCTTGACAAGACATGTGGGACACCTAGTCAAAAGGAAGAAGGAAGCTTACTTAAGATTCAGGAAGCAAGGATCAGACAGGGCTCTAGAGGTCTACAAGGTAGCCAGGAGAAAATGGGAGAATGGACTTAGGAGAGCTAGAAGTGGGTATGAGAAAACCTTGGCAGATAGGACCAAGGAGAACCCCAAGGCATTCTATGCTTATGTGAGGAACAAGAGGATGGCCAGAGTGAGGGCAGGGCCAAACAGGGATAGTGGAGGGAACTTGTGTGCGGAGTCAGAGGAAGCAGGGGAGGTCCTTATTGAATACTTTGCTTCAGTATTCACCAGTGAGAGGGACCTTGATGTTTGTGAGGACAGCATGAAACAGATATGCTCGAACAGGTAGATGTTAGGAAGGAGGATGTGCAAGAAATTTTGGAAAACATGAGGATAGATAAGTCCCCTGGGCCAGACGGGATAGACCCCAGGTTATACGGGAACCAGGGGAAGAGATTGCTGCCCCTTTGGCAATGATCTTTGTGTCCTCACTGTCCACTGGAGTAGTACCAGAAGATTGGAGGGTAGCAAATGTCATTCCCTTGTTCAAGAAAGGGAATAGGGATAATCCTGGAAATTACAGACCAGTCAGTCTTACTTCTGTGGTGGGCAAATTATTGGAGAGGATTCTGAGAGATAGTATTTATGATTATTTAGAAAAGCACAGTTTGATTAGAAATAGTCAGCATGGTTTTGTGAGGGGCAGGTCATGCCTCACAAGCCTATTAAATTCTTTGAGGATGTGACAAAACACATTGATGAAGGTAGAGCAGTGGATGTGTATATGGATTTTAGGAAGGCATTTGATAAGGTTCCACATGGTAGGCTCATTCAGAAAGTAAAGAGGCATGGGATTCAGGGAAATTTGGCTGTTTGGTTACAAAACTGGCTATCCAATAGAAGACAGAGGGTGTTAGTAGATGGAAAGTATTCAGCCTGGAGCTCGGTGACCAGTGGTGTTCCACAGGGATCTGTTCTGGGACCTCTGCTCTTTGTGATCTTTATAAATGACTTGGGTGAGGAAGTGGAAGGGTGGGTTAGGAAGTTTGCTGATGACACGAAGGTTGGTGGAGTTGTGGACAGCGTGGAGGGCTGTTGTAGGTTGCAACGGGACATTGACAGGATGCAGAGCTGGGCAAAGAAGTGGCAGATGGAATTCGATCCAGAAAAGTGTGAAGTGATTCATTCTGGAAGGTCAAATTTGAATGCAGTATACAGGGTCAATGGCAGGATTCTCGGCAGCGTGGAGGAACAGAGGGATCTCGGGGTCCATGTCAATAGATCCCTCAAAGTTGCTACCTAAGTTGAGAGGGTTGTAAAGAAGGCGTATAGTGTGTTGGCTTTCATTGGCAGCTCTATAAAACTCTGGTTAGACCATACTTGGAATATTGTGTTCAGTTCTGGTCACCTCATTATAGGAAAGATGCGGAAGCTTTAGAGAGGGAGCAGAGGAGATTTACCAGGATGCTGCCTGGACTGGAGGGCAGGTCTTATGAGGAAAGGTTGAGGGAACTAGGACTTTTTTCATTGGAGCGAAGAAGGATGAGAGGTGACTTGATAGAGGTGTACAAGATGATGAGAGGCATAGATAGAGTGGATAGTCAGAGACTTTTTGCCAGGATGACAGAAATGACTATTACAAGGGGGCATAATTTTAAGGTGATTGGAGGAAGGTATAGGGCAGATGTCAGAGGTAGGTTCTTCACACAGAAAGTGGTGGGCATGTGGAATGCGCTGCCGGCAGTGGTAGTGGAGTCAGATACTTTAGAGACTTTTAAGCGACTCTTGGATAGGCACATGGAGGATAGTAAAATGTAGGGTATGCAGGGTAGATTGATCTTAGTAGGATAATAGGTCGGCACAACATCGTGGGCCAAAAGGCCTGTACTATGCTGTACTGTTCAATGTTCTATGTTAGTGGAGAGAATGTGTAGTGTCAGGATTAGAATTTAGGACAATAGACCCTAGGAGGGATTTTGTAAGAAATATCAGAGAGCTCATGATATTGAAACGGAAGAAACAGGAGCAGTCAATTCTGTCCCTCAATCCTGTTCCACATTCCAATAACATCACGGCTAGCCTTCCAGCTCAGTTGCACCTTCCTGCTCTAACACGCTAAAAGAGACGCTTATTTGGTCATTACAAAGAATTGATTAACTCTGCAGCGATCGCATTAGTTTGGAAACATGTGAACATGTTGCAATTCTCAAAAGGTGAGACAAAACAGACTCAGACAACCACGGACAAAATACTGACTTGAGGACTTCATCTCTCACAGCTGGAATTCACAGCTGGAGATCCCACAGAGAAGACCTATATGCTATCTGAAGGAATGGGTGGAATGGGCTGCTTTACTCAAAAGCAGTCAGTGCCTGGTCAAAGGATCCAATCTCCATTAAAATCACCCCATGGTATCAGATTAGGTGAATTATGGAGAAGAACGGTGTTCCAGTTTCCTCCCACAGTCCAAAGATGTGCAATTTAGATGGATTGGCCATGCTGAATTGCCTGTAGTGTTCAGGGATAAATAGATTAGGTTCATTAGCCACGGGAAATGCAGGGTTACAGGGACGGTGTAGGTGGATGGTTCTGGGTGGGATGCTGTTTGGAGGGTCGGTGTGGACTTGTTGGGCCGAATGGCCTTTTCCACACTGTGGGGATTCTATGATTCTACGATTCTACGACTGGAATGATGGTACATTAAAAAATGACCCTAATATTGTCAAAAAGAGACAGCTGGTTGTTTTCTGAGAGGATAGTTTTGCACTTTATATGTGAGTGGAGGGACAGGGTGGGTGAAGTGATTTAAGACAATAAACAAGTATTCTCTACAGAAATAAACTTTTTTTTGGTCTGGGCCTTCAAGTTAAATAGTGTCAAGGATGAAGCTATTACATGTCAAAAAGGGCACAGGAAAGATTTTGCAGTTTATCTCGCCTCTCTGAAAAATGCATACTTTGCAAATGCCCAATCCTTCAAATTCCATCAGGAGTTCTGTCCTGCCTGGGAAATGCTCATGAAGATGTCAGCACATAATCTTCATTAGGAGTTGCTCTTAGGACCAAGGTGTTACATATGCAAGCGAGGCATCATAATCAAACGCACTTTTCATTAAATGTGCATGGCTGAATCTCTCACACCACAATGAAAGTCTCAATTGGATACTAACATAAAATTTTCCTTGTGAAAAGTACTTCTAGTAAATGTGTAATGGGTGGGAATTTTTCAGTTTTCAGTTCCCAGTTCCCCCTACTTTAAATGTGGATTTATCCATTGTAGCAGTAAGTCAGGGTGCTGAGAGGCACAAAACACTCAGATGAACTAAGTCAGAAGATTCTGGAAGGAATCTTAACATTCTGGACATTTTGTATTGTGGAAAAAATAATTAAGTGTCCAAGTTAAGTATTCACAGTGTTAATTATTCTGCTGTATTACTTTTGTATTTTTATAATTAAGTATTTTCAATCAATGTGATGTGTGTTTTAACCTGAAAAATACATAATCTTGAATGTGATGTTTTCTATCTTTTGGAGAGAACATGAAAATATGATGGGCAATATCCAAATAGATTGGTAAAGGGTTCTTCCTAATCCTGTAGCTTTTCTTTCTCATTCAGACAATGCACAATGGTATAATATGTTGATTTCCTGTAGCCTAATAGTTACATGTGGATTATAGTAGTCTGCTATTCCCATCAGACAGTTATTGAAGAACACATTTCAGAACACACTGACTGGGGTATCAATCAGATCTGCCCCTAAACTGATAATGCAATTTATGGACTACTTATCCATTCATATCAAATTTTATATCGTCAAGGAATATTGCTGAGATGATCTCTTCACAAAGTATGCACTGGACCTTGTAAACAATCTCCAGTACTACAAACTCACAATGATACGGGTCTTGTTGTGTATCAGCTTGTTCATTTGCCCCTCCACGCTGTTCTTTTGTGTCTGAACTCCTGTTATGAGCAAAGCCAGTTGTTCCTGTGAAGAAATGGAATATTAATTAGGATGCAGCTAAAATTTCTTTATAGGATCAATACAAATATTCAGAGTGAGGAATTCTCTTCTGTGACAAGTTTCCTTAGTTCATCACATTACCCATGAATTTCTGGCAATCATTCTCACATCTGATATTTGTAAAGATTTATAACCACCATGAGGGCAAACTGGTGGGATTACATATCAAGCTCAGGGTGTATATGAAGTCACTTCAGAATCCAAAGAAATGCAAATCATTGCTACAAGTGGTAGTCTTACACTTTTATTGTGTAAGATGTTAGCACTGGATGTTATCAGATAAAGCTCAAAGGGAATAAAGACATGTTCTCTTTCTTAACCTACTTAAGTACAATGATTCCTGTACAACTAGATTATTCTTCTATTATATAGATTACCTTACCTATCTTAGCCAGCCTAAAACAATCAACTGATGAAATGTCTCAAAATGTTAACAATATTTTAAGGAAGTTTCACACACAAAGACAGCAGAAAGGCAGATAAATAAATTACAGAACAGCAAAACGTCACAAAGAATAGCTTCCAACCATTTAATTGGGAATTTTAAATGGGTAGTTCTTTTAGTACAATTACAGATAAATGAGTGCTGCAGGAACATGTTAAGCATCATCTCGATATCCGCAGCATTGTACAGAGATAAAATGGTCACCCGCTACTTTCTTCACCCACCAGCTATATCCCCTCCTCACACACTTGTGTGGCTTATGTTAGTGAAATGAACTGCCCGGTGAAATAAACAGACCAGGAAGTCTTCTACTTTGGTCCCCATTAGGTGCACTCAACTGGGGCTAAACAATCAGTAATGCCTTATGATTGAGTGAGAGTAGTAAATATTTACTAGGTTTCATTCACTGTCTAATAACCCCGTCGTTGTATGGTTCTCACTCAGAAACACTGCTCCCAGATTTTGATGATGCATCAGATCAGAGGCTGAGGTTCTCTTTGCTAGCAAACAGGAAAGTGGCAGGTTGTCTATCTAGCCTGACTTCGGTGAACTTCCTGGAGAGGATATCATTGAAATTCTTTGGGAATACTACTGAAAGCCTACTCAGGTGCTTGGAAATTTGATACTAAGGACGGGGTAAGAAATGGTTATTGCTGCTCCAAGAATCAGACTCAGAGAGAACAAGAAAATTAGCCTTGACAACAAAACAAAATTTACTTCCATTGACATGACAAAATCTACTGAAATAGAACTAGTTGTGCATTCTACATAATTAACTCATGATTCTCATTTGGATCTTTACATTCTTTAAGATGTTGTACCTCTGTCAGAAACAATGGGCATTTCCTGAAGACCGGCATAAGCAGTGTCCAATGTTATCAGTGCAATAGCAATGAAATATTGCATTATTAAAGCTTCATCTAGATAAGGCCATATTGAGCTGGGGCGTCTGGTGGAAGTGATGGCAGAAAATGTGGCTAGCTCTGAAATAATTATGGAACCTGTATACTGGGGGTGCCACCTCCTAACAAATCAATGAATACTGCTAGTCCATTGGAAAGACAAATCCTGCTTACTGTCTAAACTCGTACACCACTGACAACCTGGAAAAGATTACTAAAAGCTGAGGGTAGAACTTAGAAACACAGCACAATAAGTATGAACGCTTAAAGTGCTTCTTTCAAATGCCACTGCGAAATTTAAAACAGGAAATAACCCAAAACAAGGGAACGTCTCAGACAGCAATTTCAAGCATAAAATTCACGTTGTGAGTGAAGGCGAATTCTTCTCTGGTGAATTTCGATTCATAGAATTGGCTAATGTATAAGCATTTCCTAACAGGCTCATTTTACAAATTCTCTGAAATGCAAATCCAAACGTAATATTTCATTAAGATTTGTGTGTGTGTATGAAAATATATTAATGACTTGCAAAGACTTGATCAATGAGATATACAGGGCCAGTTGATTCACTTTCTTAGGTAATACAAGCTCAGCAATCTATAGATAGATACAGTGCTCCACACACATTTCTATTTACTATTTATACAAACTAATCATTGTCAGGAAAATAATACTACCTTTCTACAACAGTAAACACCTGCAATCTTTCATTGCCATCAACATTTCTTCCCCTGGCCTTCTTGCTCCCTTTACATATGTACAGAAGCTTAAGATATAAATAGGGTGTAACGACCAAGTTTGGAGGATTCTTTTCCTTGTCCCATTTCTCCACTGGTCATAACAAAGTTTACATTTAAAAATGGAGGTTAGCAACTTTATATAAGACTGTATAAAGCTCAGTATCAGATTCACGTCAGCCAAACTCCTTTAGTAATAAGTACACAACTAGGTTATTGTGAACAAAACTTACACTTGTCTAGATGAGTGCAGCTCCTCCAACACTCAAGAAGCTTGACATCATCCAGGACAAAGTAACTCACTTGATTGGCACCATATCCACAAACATCCACTCTCTCCACCACTAATGCAATGTAGCAGCAGTGTGTACATTCTACAGGAGTCCATTATTAGGGATGAGATTGTGGAGTACTTGGAAGTGCATGGAAAATAGGGCTGAATCAGCACGGCGTCATCAAGGGCAGGTAACGACTGAAAAATCTGTTAGAATTTTTTGAGGAGGTAACAAGGAAGTTAGACAAAGGAGAGCCAGTGGGCATCATCTATTTGGATTTCCAGAAGGCCTTTGATAAGGTACTGTGCAGGATGCTGCTAAATTAGATAACAGCCTATGGTGTTAGGGGCAAGGCATGGATAGAAGATTTGCTGACTGGCAGAAGGCAGAGAGTTGGGATAAAAGAATCTTTTTCTGGATGACAGCCGGTGACTACTGAAGTTCTGCAGGGATCAGTGTTGGGACCACAACTATTCCATTATACATCAGCCGATCTGCATGAAGGAACAAGGGCATTGTTGCTAAGTTTGCAGATGACACAAAGATAGGTGGAGGGACAGGTCGTGTTGAGGAAGTGGGGACACTACTGAAGGACTTGGGCAGGCTAGGAGAGTGGACAAAAAAGTAACAGTTGTAATTCAATGTGGCAAAGCGTGAGGTTATGCACTTTAGTAGGAAGAATAGAGGCATGGACTATTTTGTAAATGGGGAAAGGCTTCGGAAGTCTGAAACACAAATGGACTTGAGAGTCCTAGCTCAGAATTCTCTTAAGGTTAACATGCACATTAATCTGGCAGTTAGGTAGGCAAATGCAATGTTAGTATTCATTTCAATAGGGCTAGAATACAAGAGCAGGGATGTACTGCTGAGGCTGTATAAGGCTTTGGTCAGAACATATTTGGAATATTGTGCTCAGTTTTGGGCCTCATATCTAAGGAAGGATGTGCTGGCTTTGGAGGGGGTCCAGAGGAGTTTTGCAAGAATAATCCCAGGGATGAAGGGCTTGTCATGTGAGGAGCGGTTGAGGACTCTGGCTGTGTACTTGATGGAGTTTAGAAAGATGGGGGAGGGGATCTTATTGAAATTTACAGAATACCAACACACCTGGTTAGGGTGGATGTGGAGAAGATGTTTCCATTAGTTGGATAGACTAGGATCAGAGGGCACACCTCACAGCAAAAGGATGACTCATTTGAACTGAGATGAGGAGGGATTTCTTCAACCAGAAGGTGGTTAATCTTTGGAATTTATTGCTGCAAATGGCTGTGGAGGCCAAGTCATTAAGTCTATTTAAGTCAGAGATAGATAGGTTCTTGATTAGTAAGGGGATCAAGGGTTCTAGACAGAAGGCAGGAGAATAGGTTGAAAAACATATCAGCCATGATTAAATGGCAGAGCAGACTTGATGGGCCAAATGGCTTCATTCTGCCTCTATACCGTATGGCCTAAGATGTACTGCAAAAATTCACCAATTCCTTAGACAGCACCTCTAAACCCACAACTACCATCTAAAAGAACAGCAAATACATGGGACAAAAACAAAGTTGCTGGAAAAGCTCAGCAGGTCTGGCAGCATCTGTGAAGGAGAAAACAGAGTTAACGTTTCGGGTCCAGTGACCCTTCCTCAGAACTGATGGTGGCTGGGAAAACGTCAGTTTACATGCAGAAAATAGGGAGGTGGGTGGGGTAGAGAGTAAATGATAGGATAGAGCCCAAAGAGAGAGAAAGACAGTTGGACAGACAAAGGAGTTGCTAACACACAGGCTGGGAGGGTGAGTAGTTGTTAATGGGGACTGTTAGTGACTAACAACAGGGGATGTGTAATGGCAGGCTATGTGGTAACAAGGCCTGGTGTGTGGGGTGGGGGGCTGGGACATGGGAGAGTTAGGCCTTAAAATTATTGAACTCAATATTGAGTCCGGAGGGCTGTAGGGTCCCCAAGCAGAAAATGAGATGTTGTTCCTCCAGCTTGCGTTGGGTTCACTGGAACACTGTAGCAAGCCAGAGACAGAGATGTTGGCCAGGGAACAGGGTGGTGTGTTAAAGTGGCAGGCAACAGGTAGTTCAGGGTCTTTTTGCGAGCAGAACATAGATGTTCTGCGAAGCGGTCGCCAAGTCTACGCTTCGTTTCCCCAATGTAGAGGAGACCACATTGTGAGCAGCGAATGCAGTAGACTAGATTCTTGGAAGTGCAGGTGAAATGTTGCTTCACCTGAAAGGTATGTTTGGGCCCTTGGATACTGGGGAGGGAGGAGGTAAATGGGCAGGTGTTGCATCTTCGCCGGTTACAGGGGAAGGTGCCGTAGGGCTGTGGGGAGGTGTTGGGGGTGAAGGAAGTGTGGACCAGGGTGTCCCAGAGGGAATGGTCTTTGCGGAAGGTGGACAAGGGAGGGGAATATGTTTCTGGTGGTGCCATGCAGATACATGGGAATATCACCACCTGCGAGTTCTCCTCCAAGCCACTCACCATCCTGACTTGGAAATATATCACTATTCCTTTAGTGTCACTGGGTAAAAATCCTGGGATTCCCTCCCTAATGGCATTGTAAGTGTACCTACACTAAATAGACTGAGGCAATTCAAGAAGGCATATCAGCACCTTCTTCTCAAGAGCAACTAGGGTTGGGCAATAAATGCTGACCTAGCCAGCTATGCCCACATCCCATGAATGAACAAAAAAAACTCAAGCAGAGATTGTTAAGAAAGGCATAACTTTCTGTTCTCTTGATGAGTGTGGGAAATATTGAAAAATGCAGTAACACAAAGAACATTTTTAAAAATCAGCATCACAACATCAAGGAGAAAATCAGAAATTGTTTTCTCAATGTTTAAACAGCAAGTTCAGAATCTCGCTAATGAATGGCAACTATCTTGTTTCCATTGATGCTTTTGCATCTAATCAACAGCCCAACTCACCGCCAAATCCCGAGCTGTAAGTCAGGGCAGTTTGCTCCTTGCTCCTTTGGGCTTTCATCTAACTCTGTATTCATTACAACACCCAGCATGTTCCTTGGGCACTATGCTCCTCCGTCCTTCACCCACGCAGGTCAACAACTGTAAACCAGCAGCCTCACCACATCATTGTATCTGCTTAGCGACCAACTCAGACACCACGTCAGCCCTTTAGGACTTCACTTTGGAGCTCAAGGAATACCTACAACTTGCACATTTCTGACAGACTGCTTTGCATGCGGGGACATCTCATGCAGCCACACAGGATACATCTTTTGACTCTGAGCTTACATTCCCAGTACTTACTCACTTTGTGCTAACTTGGGGAAGCTGCCAAGCTTTATGACTTGTTTTGCTTTTTAGTGCAGAAGGACAGGCAGGCAGCTTGTCATGGTTTGAACGTCAAGTGGGTGGACATATTGCTGCACAGCACCATACTCCATCCATCTCACACCTCTAGCATGTGCCTAAAGCTTATGTGGCAAACACACTTCATGAGCTTTAACCAAACAGTCACGTGTGAAAGTGAAAGGAGACCAGCCCTTAATGGGGTTCATGGGAAACTGCGGTCAGTCAGAGGGCACCACTACAGCTCATCCAATTCCAGTCCTGGTGGTTGGCAGCAGTCAGTTCTGGAAGGTCAAGTGCCAGCAGCCAGGGGATTACAGGTGGCTCAATCAGAGTGCTGTGGAGTTACCAGTTCAGGGTGTGGACTACCTTTTCCTGCAATGAGACAAAAGGAGGGATTGAGTATGTTGGAACTAGATGGAAGAGCAGTCAGTGATGATGCAAGAGTAGGAGAGGTGGTGAAGTAGTGGTGTCCCCAGTATGAAGTGCACATGGCAGGAAAGGTAGGTAGTTTGGGAGGATGAGATGGGTAAGAGTGGTTGAGTCAATACAATGTATTAAATAATGAAAGTTGTAGTCCATGAGCCTTGGAGAGATTAGAGTGTCATGATGGGATTAGAGTGTGTGGTGGCCCTGTGACTGTGAAGTAGCAGAGAGAAGATAGTGGCACTTAACCCTTGTGGAGTACAAAATATCGTTAACCTTATTTCATCATTGCTGTATATTTTCACTCAGGACTCCGCATTGACCCTTGGCCTCTATCTCAGTTCAGATTGGCTGTGCCTGGTGGTGTGGCCTCCTTTGCTGATTGGCAGGAAAAGGTACTGCTTTCCTTTCCACCAGAATCTCCCAGATCCTGTCAACGTACCAAGGAGCTAATTTCCCTTTACCTTTGGGACACCTGGCAGGACCCACAATGTGAAGGGCAGTTCCCAGCTTGCAACATGTGAAGTGGTGCATAGTTGGAGATTAAATAAAGCATCAGAGGTGTAAATGTCACGAAGTCTCAGCAACAGCAAGCACCTCAGCTTGTCCTACCAAGTTGCACAACACAGAACATCTGCTTGCACAGATGGATCACAGTGGCTATTTTTAATGGCAGTACCCTGTACCTGCATTGTGAACACATAAAATATCAGGAGGCAAATAGATATGTCGGTCTGTGCTGTACATAAGAAAATCCATATATTTTTAAGACAATAAGAGATAGGAGCAGAAATTAGGCCATTCAGCCCATTGAGTCTGCTCCACCATTCAATCATGGCTGATAAATTTCTCAAACCCATTCTCTCGCTTTCTCCCCATAACACTCGATCCTCTTGACAATCAAGAACCTATCTATCTCCATCTTAAATATACTCAATGACCTGGCCTCCACAGCTTTCTGTGGCAGTGAATTCCATAGATTCACCATTCTCTGGCTGAAGAGGTTTCTTCTAATCCCTCAGCTAAAAGGACTTCCCTTTACTCTAAGGCTATGCCCTCAGGTCCTAGTCTCTCCTACCAATGGAAACATCTTCCTAACATCCACTCTGTCCAGGCCATTCAGTATTCTGCAAGTTTCAATTAGACTCCCCTCATCCTTCTAAACTCCAATGAGTATAGTCCCAGAGGACTCAAACATTCCTCATATGTTAAGCTTTTCATTCCTGGGACCATTCTTGTAAACCTCCTCTGAACCCGCTCCAGGGCCAGTACATCTTTCCTGAGATATGGAACCCAAAACTGTGCACAATACTCCAAGTGTGGCCAAATGTTTCTTCCATATTCTTTCTGAAATAAAATGCAGTTAACATAAATTATATAAGTCATATATAAATGATGTGGAGGAAGGAAACAAATGTACTATAGCCAAATTTGCAGATGTCATAAAAATATGTGGCAAGGCAGATTGTGAGAGGGCTCCAAACAGTTTACAAAGAGACATTGATTGGTTAAGCAAATGGGCAATAAGTTGGCAAAGGGAGTATAATATGGGAAAATATAAAGTTTTTCATTTTTGAAGGGAGAACAAAAGAACAGAGTATTATTTTAATGGAGAAAAGCTGCAGAAAGCTGCAACACTAAGGGACTTGGGGATCTCATGCTTGAAACACACAAAGCTAGCACACAGGTACAGCAGGTAATCAGGAAGGCTAATGGAACGTTGGTGCTTATTTCAACGGGGTTGCAGTAAAGAGTAGGGAAGTCTTACTGTGACCATACAAAGTGCAGGTGAGATCACATCTGGAGCACTGTGAGAAGTTTTGGTCCCTTTATTTAAGAAAATATTTTATTTCATTGAAGACAGCTCAGAGTTCACTAGGAATGATCCCTGGTATGGAGAGATTGTCTTATGAGCAAAGGTTATTCAGGTTGGACTCTACTCATTGAAATTTAGAAGAATGAGAAATGAGCTCATTGAAACATATAGGACTCTTAAGGGTCTTCACAGGGTAAATGCTGAGACGATATCTCCCTTCACGGGAGAGTCTAGGACCTGAGAATACAGTCTTAGAATTAAGGGTGCCAATTTAAAAGTGGGACAATGAAGAATTTCTTCTCTCAGAGGTTGAGAGTCTTTGGAACTCCTTGCCACAGAGAGCTGTGGGGACAGAGTCATTGCGTATATTTATGCTTGAGATTGACAGATTCTTGATTAGTAAGGGAATCAAGGGTTATGGTGAAACGTCAGGAAAGTGGTCGTGAAGGATGTCGGATTAGCTATTATCCTATTGAATGATGGAGCTGCTTGAGGTGCCAAACAGCCTACTCCTGTTCTCAGAGATAGTACAAACTGCAGATGCTGGAGTCAGAGATATCACAGTGTGGAGCTGGAGGAACACAGCAGGCCGGGCAGCATCAGAGGAATAGGATGGTCTGATAATCTTAAATCAGCAATTCTTCCACTGCCACAGTTCACAGCAATGCTGTTTCTGCACATACACACTCATTACTCCACCTGACAGTAGTGCTACCGATAAACGCAGCATTTCTGGAGATGGTGTTGATGTCAAATCCTTCGTATGAAACCTCCATTTGCAGTGATAAGATCGTCCAGTCAGTGTTCAACCCTGAAATGTTGATAGGAAGGGATCCAGAAAAAGAGAAAAGAGAGGGAAGGCATGGTCTGTTATTTCAGCCACCTTAGCTCTCTAACTCTGTGTGCAAAAACAAAGATATTTATTTCACTCACAAAGCCTGGTCATGTGACCTTTCTCTGAAGGTGTTCCAAGCTCAGTCAATCCTGATGAAGAGCTTGTGTTCTTTGCAAATGCACCACTTTTCCTGCCGTAGCCTGTTTTGCAATGTGTTCTTTCCAGAAAAATACATAACATAGATGCTTTTCCAGTCAATGATATTCTAAATTAATATTTCAGATGACACATACTCAGAACAAGGGATAGAATGTTGTTGTCCTGATTCTCTGCCCTATATTCCCAGTCAGTACAGTTTCAGCGCATGGAATCAAAAGATACCGGTACCTAGTTCACCGTTTTAACTTTTTACAGATCACATGTAATTTAGGTCCATCGTAGACTTTGCTCCACTACTTTCAAATGCTATGATATTTTAAAAACTTTTTCCTAACTTAATGGTAATCGAGCCAAGCCTTGATCCTTAAACTAGTAACAATCTGCTTCAGCCTTTGCCATGAATCTTTGACTGTTGTGAGGGAATATGACAACAGATTTCATGACAACAGACACTTTCATGGCTTAAGCATTTGCACTGTACCCTATTGCATTATTTTTCACATAAATGTCAACAAAGAATCTTATGAAGTCTGCAATTTGAATATTAACAGGTAGAAAGTGAATGGCATAATAATGATCCTTACCTTCATTCTCTCATACACACTCGAGAGTGGTGTTATTTTATGTTGCTTGTGTTGTCCGATGATTCCACAGAGCCCACATATTATTTGCTGGTCCTTCTCACAGTACAGGCTCAGCGGGTTGTGATGATCCCTGCAGTTTTCCTGGTCACCACTGGACCCATTTATTACCATCAGGGTGTCGATGACACGAGCCAGAGAGACATTGGGAGAAGAGCTTCTGCTGTCCACTGCCTTTCGACATACAGGGCAAGTGAAACAACTGGCCAGATTTCCAGAAAGGGAGTGGATGCAGTTCTTACAGTAGCTGTGACCACATTGCAGCATTAAGGGCTGCTTGAAGATCTCCAGACAAATGGGACACAGGAGATGGTCCTCCAGGCACTGAAAATTCTGCCTTGCAGCCATGTTTAAACTTCAATTGTAATCGCCTTCTCCTTGTGTTAACTAGGCTGTGGCCCTTATCTTTGTTCCAGCAGTTTGGAGGAAGGTACCTTTGGGCACCACAATCATATGATCTTGTTTTCATTAAAACTGCTTTATATACATTGTGGATTCCATTACAATTAGGTCATTTTCAGTGCATGTCTTTGAAGTGTTAAACTATCTTTACTTTTGCTATTACCTCCTTTCTCTCTATTCTAAATTTTCTCTCAGAATCATAATTGCAATTCTATAGGTTGTGGCTGTTTTCTGACACCTCATGTTATGAACTTAGAGTTTAACGTTTTTCCTTTAGTTTATTAGGTATTCCTATGGATTAGAGGGTATCTTTACGACTCAACATCAACTTATGTTGTTTTACTACAGCTCCTGGCTCATGCTAGCACACTTTTTGCTGTGAAAAATCTCACTCCAGAAATGTGACAATATTAAACGAGACTGGCACGGTCTTCAGTGCATTGCTGGGGGAAGGCTGTTGTAGGAACCTCTTCATTGGATGATGCATTAAATTAAGGGCCTGTCTGCCCTCACAGCAGGATATAACAGATTCCACAGTTCTACTCAAAGTGGGGGTGTTCTCTCAATATCCTCACTGGCACGTATTAGCCTTTAGTTAATACTTAGCCCTGAACCATCACCTGAACAAGTTATTTAAATTTAATCGCGATTTATAGGAGCTTGCTATGTGTTTCCTACCTGACAACAATGGCAATGTTTTTTCTTTAGCTGCAAAGCAAGACATCCTGAGTTTGGGAATGACACTATGTAAGTCAATTTTCTTTTCTTTTACTGGACATTGTGATCATTGACAAAACAACAAGATATGCATCTGTCTGCATTTGGATTGATAGCGGGACAAATTGTAAAGCAGTGAACTAATTTATTTTGCATGAAATTTATGAATAAACAGAAGCAGTTTTTCATGAGTTTGACTTTGCGGTAATGTTGAAACAAACAATAAGAGAACAATCATTTCTAGGAATCTTGTTAGACAAATAAGTGCTGAAGAACAAGAGCAAATGGTCCATACAACTTAATCCATTAGCAACCTATATACACCAAATACACATGACAATAAATAAATCAAATAATCAGATCAAATAATTCATATCTATGGGAGAGACAAAAAGCCAATGCTCAATTGTGAAAATTTCCTTTCTGACCCTTGAGCCAGGGACAGGAAATACAGAGCAAAAGGGAAGACAGGAAGAAGAAGAGAAAGGCAGGTGTTAGAGAGAACAGAGAACTGACAAAGGGAAGAGAAGAAGGGAGTAAAGGGATTGGAAGAGAAGGAAAATGGGAGCTAGGAATTGGGAGAGAAAGTCCCAAGGATGGGATGAAACATAAGTTACTGGGAAGAGCTCAAGTACCAAAAATAATTCAGCATGATAAAATTCTCTCAATGTGAGGGTAGGAGATAGGCTGGTAAGCTTTCTCTCATCAGAGCAGTGGGGAGGGACCAAGGCTTCCGACTGCAGAGGATGACAGAAAGCCTAGCTATGAATCTCATGGAGTAGGGGAATCAAGGAAAGGGCTTGGGGCCAATTATATTGCAACATTATGCACACTGAACATAAGAACATAAGAACATAAGAACTAGGAGCAGGAGTAGGCCGTCTGGCCCTTCGAGCCTGCTCCGCCATTCAATAAGATCATGGCTGATCCTTTCGTGGACTCAGATCCACTTACCTGCATTCTCACCGTATCCCTTAATTCCTTTATTGTTCAAAAAAAATCTACTTTTTTTAAAAAACATTTACTGAAGTAGCATCAACTACTTCACTGGCAGGAGCTTAAAGGACAGAGGTCAACAGCAGAGTTAGAAATTAGCCACATTTGCTTGACTGCCCCAAAAACACACTTAACCGGTGTAGGTAATTATTGGGCAAGCAGAAATTTTGGCTAATTATATATAGGAAAGGTTGAAGCTATTGTCTTGCCACAAACCAGATTCCTTCTCCAGATGCACCATCTCTCTCCATGGCCATTGTCTAATCCGAAGTAAAACTAATCACAATATTGCAGTGCTACTTGACTCTGAGGTAAGCATCCAACCTCAAATACTCTCTGTCAATAAGATCATTTACTTTCACCTCTACAATATTACCAATTCCATCCCAGTGTCAGCTTATCCACTGCTGGAACTCTCATATAGTTTAACATTAAAGACACTTCATGATGTGGTGAAAGACACCATAATCCCAGGGCACCATAGACTGCTCTCTCATTAGAGACCCCTCCAACTGATGGTGAGTTTAATCTAAGGGTCATTGCACTTCAGGCAAGGGGTGAAATTGAGAAGGCATAGTCATGAATTGAATCTGCACTTTTAACATCGCTCTGCATCGTTCACTAGCCAACCAAGCTAAGTAAATTAACTAATAACTTGTGAATTACTACTAAATTTGACTATTCCAATGCTCCTGTGGCCAGCACCCCCACATGGCCATAAGATATGGAAGGAGAATTAGGCCACTTGGCCCATTGGGTCTGCTCCATCGTTTGATCATGGCTGATATATTTCTCAACCCCATGCTTCTGCCTTCTTCCCTTAACCTTTGATTCCCTTACTAATCAAGAAATCTCTCATATTGTAGTCTTTGTAAACTTCAGATCACCCAAATCTCTGCTGTCTGTGTCCTAACTTAAATCAAGTCCCACTTGCCCATCAACCTGTGCTTGGTGATCCAGGCTCCTGGTTCAACTTCCTTGTATTCAAATCGTTGAGTGGCACCACCCTTCTCTGTATCTGTAATGTCTTTCAACGACAACCATCCTCAACCAGCTGAGAACAATGTTCTCCTCCAAATCTGGCCTCTTGCACATCCCCAGTTTTAATTACTTCATCAGTATTGCCCAATCTTACTGCTTCCTGTCACTTAACCTTTTAGCATTCCCTCTCTGAACTTCTATCTGTCATAATTCTTATTTAAGATACTCCTTAAAGCTTACTTCTTTGACCAAACAGTCTAGTTAGTCAACAAGGTGCAGAGCTGGATGAACACAGCAGGCCAAGCAGCATCATAGGAGCAGGACTATGTTCATCCAGCTCTGCAGCTTGTTGTCTCAGATTCTCCAGCATCTGCAGTTCCTACTATCTCTGATATAGTCTAGTTAGTCAGCAGTTTAATTCTGTCAATGAGCTCTGATGAAGAGTCATCTAGACTCAAAATGTTAGCTTGTTCTCTCTCCAGTGATGCTGCCTGACCCGCTGTGATTTCCAGCATTTTTTGTTTTCAGTACAGACTCAAGCATCTGCTTGAATTTGCTCTTAACTTCTGTCAATCATTATCAAGTTGTATTTGAGATAGCTCCTGCAAAGTGTCTTGAAATATTCTACTGCATTAAAGGTGTTATGTGAATGCAAGCTTTTGTTGGCATTTCTACATTTCAAAAAATAGATCACTCTCCACCTTTAAAATATATAATACTTCTTTCAGTAACATGACAGTTAAGATGTGCCTTTCTTTAATACCTGATCAGAGGCTCCAATGTACAATCTAACTGTGTCTCAACATAAATTCAAAAACTAGGAGGATCCTAGTTAAAGGGTCTAGGTCCGAAACGTCAGCCTCTCTGCTCCTATGATGCTGCTTGGCCTGCTGTGTTCATCCAGCCCTGCACCTTGTTGTCTCGGATCCTAGTTAAACTCAGGTTGTTTAACAGCACAGATGGGAGCCGAACATGCAGTAAACTGAAGTCCCTAGTCTCTGTGACAATACACAAGATGAATGTATGTGAATCACTGCCACAACTGTAACATTTTCTGCAGCAACAGAATCCAAACTGTCAATTTTACTGTTGCACTACATATTGTACTCCAATTTTTATTTCCATTGACCATTGTCATCTGATCAATTCAGGCATTAATTTATCAGTTGTTATCATAGATAGCTTCAGTTCTGAAGCAAAATAATTAAAGTATTACCAAACTATTTATTGCATGGGACCTCCCCAGTTCCTTAAATAGATCCAGTCATATCATGTTAATCTGTACCTGGCAAACAATGTTTTCATGTGATTGTTGGGGACATCACCTCTGAGAGGTGCACTTTATAGGTGTGTTTTATTTTTAAATATCTAGAAATATTTTTATAAAGCATCACTGTTTTTCACCTTGCTGAAGCAATTGTTATAAACCCCAAATGGTAAGTGGCTTGTCTCAGCAATAACAACCAACCTTTGGCATCTTTAATGTCATAAAATGCCTTAAGGCGTTTCAGAGGGGCCACATTAGGAGACAAAAGGCAACAAAAGTTTGATTGAGGGAGGTTTAAAGGAGAACCTTAAAGGAGCAAAGAGAAATTGGATAGGTTTCCAGAGCTTAGAGTCTTGATGAGGCCAAAGACACAAGCAATAATGGTGGAGCAAGTAAAATATATGATGCTCAAGAGGCCAAAGTCAGATAGGCACAGATATGTGAGGTTTGTGGGCTGGTGGAGATTACACAAACAGGATAGTGAAAGACCATGGAGCGGTTTGAAAATAAGAATGGGGAATTTTAAGGTTGAGGCATTGCTTAATTGGGGACCAGAGTAGATCAGCAAGCTCAGGGATGATGGAACAACAGGGCTTTGTGTAAAAGAAAACATAGATTTGGATGGATGAACACAAGTTTATACAGCATAGAATAAGGAATAGGAATATGGAATAATATGGATTGGGGTAGTCAGCATGGCTTTGTGTGTGGGAAATCGTGTCTCACAAATTTGATTTAAGTTTTTTGAAGAGGTGACCAAGAAGATAAGACGAAGGCAGAGCAGTAGACATTGTCTATGTAGACTTTAGCAAGGCTTCGACAAGGTTCTGCATAGTAGATTGGTTAAAAAAGTCAGATCATCTGGGATCCAGGGAGAGCTAACCAATTGGATACGAAATTGGCTTGATGGTAAGGAGAGGGTTGTGGTAGAGGGTTCTTGTTCAGACTGGAGGCCTATGAACTGCAGTGTGCCACATGGACCGGTGCTGGGTCCATTGTTGTTCTTCATTTATATAAATGATTTGGATGAGAATATGGGAGGCATGGTTAGTAAGTTTGCGGATTACACTACCGTCGTCTCATTACAGGAAAGATGTGGAATCGTTGGAAAAGGTGCAGAGGAGATTTACCAGGATGTTGCCTGGAACGGAGGGAAGGTCTTACGAGGAAAGGTTGAGAGAGCGAGAGCTTTTCTTTTTAGAACGACGAAGGATGAGAGATGACTTGATAGAGGTGTACAAAATGATCAGAGGCATAGATAGAGTGGACAGCCAGAGACTTTTTCCTAGGATGGAGGTAGCTATTACGAGGGGGCATAGTTTTAAAGTGAGTGGAGGTAGATATAGGGGAGTCGTCAGAGGTAGGTTCTTTACTCAGAGAGTGGTCGGGGCGTGGAATGCATTGCTGGAGAGGGTAGTGGAGTTGGCCTCATTCGGGGCATTTAAGCGGCTACGAGATAGGCATATGGATGATAGTATAACGTAGGGGTGGAGGTTAGATAGACCTTAGGATTAGGGTAGAAGTTCGGCACAACATCGTGGGCCGAAGGGCCTGTACTGTGCTATACTGTTCTATGTTCATTGGTGGTATACTGGACAGTGAAGAAGGTTATCTAAGAGTACAATGGGATCTTGATCTACTGGGTCAGTGGGCCGAGGAATGGCAGATGGAGTTCAATTTAGATAAATGTGAGGTGTTGTATTCTGGTTAGACAAGCCAGGACAGAACTTACTCAGTTAATGCTAGGGCCCTGGGGAGTGTTTTAACAGAGAGACCTAGGGGTGCAGGTACACAGTTCCTTGAAAGTAGTGTCATCGGTAGAAAGGGCGATGAAGATGGCATTTGGCACATTCAGAGTATCGAGTACAGGAATTGGGATGTCATGTTACAACTGTACAAAACGTCGGTAAGGCTACATTTGGAGTACTGCGTACAATTCTGGCACCCTGTTACAGGAAGACTGTTATTAAACTGGAAAGGATGCAAAAAAAAGGTTTACAAGGATGTTACCAAGACTGGAGGATTTGATTTTACTGGATAGGCTGAGACTTCTTTCCCCTGAAGCGTAGGAGGGTGAGGGGTGACCTTATAGAGGTTTATCAAAACATGAGGGGCATAGATAATGTGAACAGTTAATGTCTTTTCCCTAGGGTAGGGGAGTCCAAAACTAGAGGGTATAGGTTTAAGGTGAGAAGGGAAAGAGTTAAAAGGAATCTGAGGGGCAACTTTTTCACACAGGGGCTGGTGCGTATATGCCAGAGGAAGTGGTAGAGGTGAGTACAATTACAGCATTTAAAAGGCAATTGGATAGGTACATAGATACGAAGGGTTTAGAGGGATACTGACCACATGCAGGCAAATGGGCCAAAAAGTGGGTTTCTGTGTTGTATGACTCTATGGAAGGTCAGCCAAGGGTGAGTGGAATAGTTGAGTCGACAGATAACAAAGACATGAACGGGGTGTCAGCAACAATGAGCCCAGATGTGTGAGACAGGAAGAAGATGAGGGGCAAATGTTTCACAGAGGTTGGTTTGCTTGTGGAATGAAATTCCTGACGAAGTGCTGGATGTGGGCACAGTTACAACATTTAAAAGACATTTGGATAAGTACATGAATAGGAAAGGTTTGGAGGGACATGGGCCTGGAGCAGGCAGGCAGGACTAGTTTAGTTTGGGATTATGTTCGGCATGGACTGGTTGGACCGAAGGGTTTGTTTCTGTGCTGTATGACTGTATGTGGCCCGAAGCTCACTGTGGGGTGAAATACTGCATGTCTGATTTGGTCTCAGTCCGATGCCAAGGAATGGAAAAGAGTTATTAGTAAGGGAACTACATTTGCAGGGAAGGAAAGGCAATGGTTTCGGTCTTCTTTATACTTCATTGGAAGAAATTTCAGCTCCTCCAGTGCTGGATGTCAGATAAACAGTCTGTTGTTTCAGGAGATAACTGAGGGGAGATGGAGGTGGGTGCTGCTAGCATGCAGGTGAACACTAATGTTATTCTTTCAGATGATGTCTGTTGTTGAATTGCCTCCTTTGCTGTACCAGAATATTGCTGCTGCCTTATTGTTTGCGGGGTCAGTATTCTGGAATTCCCTACAGTCGGACAGGAGCCCCATCTCTCTCACTCTCTCCCACACACACACAGACAGACAGAGAGAGGAAATTTTAACTCTTATTTCCTACTATTACTCATTTTTCTTTCAGCTTCATCGCCGTCAACACTCCACCAACAGCCCGTTAGCTCCTGCCGTAAAGTGAGCACAGCTCCTGTTTACGTCCTTGTCGCAAAGGGCGGGGAGCCGGGCGGTGACCTCTGCCCTGTGACCTGTGAACCCCCGTCCCCCGCGGCCCTGGGGAGACGAAGCGGGGTTACCATGGCTCTCTATGTGAAGGCGGCCGCCGTCCTGGGGCAGCTGGAGGGCAAGCGGGGCTCGGTGAAAACCCTGGTTTATAACAGCGGCCACAAGGTGAGGGTGAGCCGGACACATGGCCGTGGGCCGTGGGCCCTGGGGGGAGGGGACTGACCCGGGCTTGTGGGGGCTCTATCCATGGGAACGTTCATCTGCGGCTCAGTGCTGGTGTAATGGTAAAAAATAATACACTCAACACCTGGGAGATGAAGCTCACGTTCATGCTCAATCCATCCCCATCAGAGAGAGAGAGACTGTGAGCCCCATGTGGATGGCAGGAGCTGTCTTGTTTGAACAGTGTTTGGGGCAATGGGAAGCCAATAGACTCATACAGAAGGGGAAAAGAAATGTTTGGGTAGGGGTTTTTATTTCCTGAACTTGTCCAGGGATAGTGCCTGGGAAGAGTATCTGGGGAAAGGATAAGGGAAAAGTGAATAAAGATAGCCCTGAAAAAGCCCTGTTGGGGGCCAGAGGGAAAGATGTGGTGGAGGACGGAAAACAAGGATGTGCTGACAGACCAGGTTGGTTTAGCCCGTTGCCAATTTTGTGCCCCTCTAGTTAGGGGTACAAAGTGTGCTCATAACACCCAGTCACTATCCTCCTTGCAGATTGGGGAGCTTAGAATGAACCTGAGATCCTCCACGTTTCTGCTTGTTATCACACCATACTCTGGACATTGTTATTAAGAAAGGGACAGTAATTTCAAACAAAGATGTAATAGTACAGCACAGAATGAGATTGGCCCCCCTTTCTACCTTTTTAGCTTAGTTCCACAGTTTTTCTTTTCAAGAATTTATTCAATCTCTTTGCAGTAAGAACATGACACTGTATTACAGTTGGAAATCTGAACATGCTGCAGTACTGCTGTTTTTCAATTGGTATAATGTGGGTGATTTTGAAATGATATTATTCTGTGTTATACCTAACTCAGGTGCGCCTACTGCTATATCCTTGTCCAGTAATTTAATGTGAAATGAGTAGGCTAACAGTCTAAGAGACTTTTCCCAAATTTCTGATGTGTTAAGTTTCCAATCTCTGGTAGATGATGAGATGATATGTTTCCAATTTTTACATGAGAAACCTGAAAATGAGTCTCCGTGGTCCCAATAAATGGTTTTCTATTGGCATCTGCTAGCATGCTGGCCTCTGGCACTGCTTTACATCATCCCAACCAGTCATAGACCAAGAGAACTTGACAATAGAAAAAAATAGGTGGGATGAATTGGACAGAAAACGGTCACTGTTTTTCCCTGCTTTTCAGAATATTAAGCAGCTGTTTGCGCTGGTGTGTGAAACACTGAAGTACACGTCTGTGTTGAATGAAATTATTGGCACAACAGATCTGCTGAAGGAGAAGAAATTGCAGATGAATGTTGCCAAGGTATGACCATTCTTCTAGCTAAGTTGACATGTGCTTTCAGGGTCACTTCCTCCATCAGACATCCCCTTTTTACTATTGCCTACCTGGATATTTTTCTCATGTTAAATGTATGAAGCAAGAATGTTTACCCTTGTGTAGGCTTCTCAGTTTCTTCCAGGCAATAATCTGCAGCAATACTTGGCATTGACTGGCTCCAGTCACATTCTTTCCTAGGTAATAACATAAAAATGTGTTCTCTTCAATGCATGCAGGGATTGTAGCTTTTCTGTTCTATGTGCTGGGGCAAGTAGGACCTCTTGGGTGTTGTAAAGAAAACGGTTATTAAATGGTCAAAACTATTTGCATTATAATTTGAAGCTAGATGTTTGTACAGCGTAGTTTTTGGCCAGTCTTCCTGTTTGGGATATTATTTTGTTTATAAGTAAATGCCACAGTAGGCTAGTGATGAGGGTTTTCTGCTATGTGATGTAACAGGAATATGAGGTAGGCAACCTTTGTATTCTCCATTGGTGTTTGATAGGGATCTACAGCAAAGATTGAAGGCTTAGATTTGTTAAAGTCTTGTGTACTTTGGGAAGCCCAAATCGATTTGTTAGTGCAAATTGTGTACCGAAGGGGGAAGCCTGAACTTACCCAATTGCCCGATGATCAAAGGGAAGGCAGCAAAATACTGGAAAGTATTTTCACAGATTGGGAGAATGGGTTTGAGTCAGAAATAAGTCTTGATCATAAGCAACTAGAGGAGGAACATGTGCAGAGTGACGTATCTGAAGTTTTGAATGTTGTTCTGCTTGTATGAAAATTATGCAAATACAATAATTGATTTAGAAGTTCTTTAAAAAGGATACTTTGACTTTTGAAACTCAGGTACTGGTATATGACCTCCTGTTTGGGAAGGGCTTGAAGTGTGGTGGCAGTTGGAAAGCACTGATCATGAAACATCGTTCCCAATTAAAATCAGCACTTGCCAGACTGAAGGTGAAAAGGAAAGTCAGCCGCAATGAGGATCTTATCGAAACAAAAGCTTCCAGTAAGGAAGGTATGGCTCCTTCTGGCGCACGGAGGGAAACATATAAGAAGCCACTTACTTGTGTTTATCACATCTTATCATTTTTTTCAGAGTATCCTGTAACATTTCACAGCTACTTAATGATTTTTAAAGTATAGTCTGTGTAATTTTGTATGAGAATGTATCGTAGAGTCATACAACACAGAAGCAGACCCTTCGGCCCAACCAGTCACTTCATTTAGAATGGGAGTCCAGAAACAATGAATGAGGTGTATGACTGGTTAACCAATCTTTCCTGATGTTGGTTGAGAGAACAAATATCAGCAGCCCATCAAGGCATTCTTTTCTCCTCTTCAAAAGATATCATTGGATCTTGAAACATCCACTTCCTACATGTTGGCAGGACTCAGGACTATTCTGATTACACTCCATGTTTGGCATGGACTAAAACCTACAACCAAGAACAACAACCACCTGTATTTATATCGTGGCTTTAATGTAATAAAATGTCCCAAAGTGCATCTTAAACAAAATATGGTACTGAGCAACATAAGGAATTATTCAGGTAGAAGAGCAAAACACTTGGTCAGAATGTCAGGTTTTTAAGGAGCATTTTGAAAAAGGAAAGTGATGTAGAGAGTTTGTAGGAATTCAAGAGCTTGGGACTAAGGCAGCTTGACCACCAGAGATAGGGTGATTAAAATCAAAGATGGTTAAGAACAGGAGAATTATTATGAGATATCTGCTTGATATGTATGGCATAGACAATGACCATTCGGCCCAACCAGGCTTGCTGGTGTTTATGCTCCACTTGAGTCTCCTCACATCTTTCCTCACCTAAATCTTCAAAGTAACCCTTTATTCTCTCTGCTTCTCACACTGTTCCGGATTCTTTTTAAATGCATCTATATGATTCACTTCGACAACAGCCAATGGTAGTGAGTTCTAATCTTTTTTGCAGTCTTTGAGTAAAGAAGTTTTTTCTCAATTCACTCATATTGATAACCTCTAGTTATACTCTTCCCCACATTCTCTCTGTATTCACTCAATCAAAACTTCTCCGAGGTCAGCCCCTCAGCCTCTAGAAGTTAGAATGCTACTTCCTGAGCCCAGGTTTACGCTGAATTGTCCCAAGATGCTGATGAGAAGCAAACGTTCTCTGAAATGTCTGCTGTCCTTCAATTATGCCACCTTGAGTATTCCTGATTTTAATTGCTCAATTATTGGTGGCCATTGCCATTAATTGCCTGGACCCTAAGTTTTGGCATACCCTTATAAATCTCTGCCTCTCTCCCTGTCTCTCTTTAAGTCACTCCTTAAAATCACCTGACCTAATATCTCTTTATTAAGCTCAGTGTCATTCTTTTGGCTGATAATCATTTATGAAATGCAGTGCCCTGGAAACGAAGAAAGGCGTTGTATAAATGCAAGTGGTTGTTAAAAGACTTTTTCCTGTGCAAGTCTGTGTATCTTATCTAAAGCTGAGTAAGACGTTGAACAAGGTCGCAGTTGTGGAATCAGTCTAGTAAGCCTTCTCTGCACTCTCTATAGCCAGAACATCATTCCTCAGGTGAGGAGACCAAAACTGCATACAATATTCCAGGTGTGGTCTCACCATGGCCCTTTATATTGGCAGCAAGACATTCCTGTTCCTGCACTCGAACACTCTTGCTGTGAAGGCTGATGTACCATTTGCCTTGTTTACCATCTGCTACACCTGCATTCTTACCTTCAGGTTGTACAAAGATGCCCAGGTCTCATTGCACGTTACCTTCTCTCAATTTAAAGCCATTTGGATAATAATCTGCCTTTCTGTTTTACTACCGAACATTTATCCACATTGAACTGCCTGCTCACTCAGCTTGTCCAAATCATACTGAAACATCTCTGCATCTTCCTCACAGTTGACTTGCCCACCCAGCTTTGTGCCATCTGCAGATTTGGAGATATTATATTTAGTTCCCTCATCCAAATTGTTAATATATATTGTGAATAGCTGAGATCCAAGCACTGATCCTTGTGGTAACCCACTAGTCACTGCCTGCCATCTAGTAAAAGACCCATCTGTTCCTACTCTTTGTTTCCTCTTTGCCAACTAGTTTTCTATCTATCTCAATACTACCCTCAATCCCATGCACTTTAATTTTACATGCTAATCTCTTATATGGGACTTTGTACGGTGCCTTCTGAAAGTCCAAATAAATCACATCATTTGACTTCCTACATCAGCTCAACTAGTTACATCCTCGTAGAATTCCAGTAGAGTTGTGAAACACAATTTCCCTTTAATAAATCCAAGCTGACTGTGTCCAATCCTGCCACTGTTTTCCAAATGTTCAATTGTTAAATCTTTATTGTGGACACTAGTATTCTCCCCACTGCTGATGTCAGGCTGACTGGGCTATAATTCCCAGTTTCTCTCTGCCTTCCTCCTTAAACATTAGCTACCTTCCAGACTCAAAAGAATAAACAAAAAGGCAAGAGTTTAGCCTTCCACAGGATGTCCTTGAAAATGGTATACACTAAAAGATAATTGCACTTTAATAGTCCAAATTCACGTCTTTTAGTGAGAACTTTATTTAACGTAACGACACTTCATCAAACTCTCATCCTTTGGTTACTAGCTCCCCGTATTTATACAACTAATCTGTGCCCAATTTGTTCCTTAATTAATATATCTGTCACCTTTCCTTCATTCCATTAAGTCTCAGGCATCCCTTCAGACCTTATTAGGTGATCAAATTCTCTTTTTTTCTTTTAAATAAATTATACAAATTAGAATAATAACAACTGACAAAAGCTACAAGATGACATCATATTCCCATTCTTTTCCTTTGCACATGAAGGAACCAAGCCTCCTTTTGGTAGTAGGGCCAACAGTTCCTGAGAGCTTGCTCCTTTCTTTGTAAAACAGTCAAATTGCTGACTGCTGCAATCTGGAGATTGTTCTGCAGCATCCGTTTTAAAATTGCAAATGGGTCCTCAGTACTTTCTCGTTCACATATTTCACAGAGTGTAAATATCCCACAGTGGCTTATTATCAACGTAGCATTCAATGGGAATTGCTGCTGAATCCCTTTTTAAATTTATTCCAATATTTTGAGGAAAACCACCATGTCTACCACTTCACTAACTGTGACCTTTTTTTGCTACAAATGTACTTTTAAAAATCATTGTTCTGATCTTTTTAGCTTCTCAAGCTAAAAGATAACATTTACCTCCCTTTCCCACAAAAAAATTATAACCCTTCCCACCCCCGCCAACACCTGGAAACCCATCACGGAGATTTTCGTAAGAAGAATTGCCAAAAGCAACAAATTTCAGTTTCATGTACCTGGTGTCTCACAATGATGGAAACTTTAAAAGACAATGCTGTATTTTAATTTTTTCAATGTTTTGCTCGCCTGAAAAATATCTTTCACCTTGGGATATTTTTCGGTGTTGTATTCAACTAATAATTTAAAACTGGCATCAGGCTTTGTTTGAATGCTCAACAATTCAGCTGTTCAATTTGACGTTGCAATTCCTCCTTTTCAGTTTTGGAAACCTTTTTGTGAGGTCGTACTTTGAAAATCCTTGGCTGTACTGCATGAGCTGCTTTGTGCCACCACTTGAGCTCCAATCTGGGAAATCCCCAGTAAAAAGCACTGTCATAAGTTGCACATCGCTGCACAGCAATAGAGAAATCGCTCAAATTCTTAACGGGTTACATCAAGGTCCAGTATGTACACACGTACACATGCATATGCATACACACACACCCCCCTCACTGACAGTGCATTCCCCTTTTGTTCCCTTCAAATGGCTTAGTTGATCACGTTTAGCATTGGGGTCTTCAACTGTCGTAAAGCCGCAGCCTTTTTGCCCAGATTCCTTACCATCTTGCACTCTGCTCCATGTTGTGTTGGTACATGTTCATATTGGCTGCTGCTATTGCGTGATCTCTCTGAACTGTCTTTCTTCCCAGCTTGCCAGCTGCCTCGCTACGTCCGAGTGAACCTACTGAAGAGCAACACTGAGGATGTGATTGACTACTTCAAACGTGAGGGTTACACTTACCTGGGGCAGGCTACCAGGTATGCTGGATTTGTTACACCAGTGCCAAGCATGAAATTATTTCAGAGCGTTTTATGCAGAATGCAGCAAGCCGTCAGAGCCCCTGAACTATCACTCAGAGGGACTGGGGTAGCAAGACTACAGCACTGAGCTTAGGGGTCTTGTGCTCTGCTGCTTTGACAATATAGCTCACCATTCCAATTTTTGGTGATTTATTGCCTGTAGTGACTTGTCAGTATAGGGTCTATCATTCCCAATCTCCTTCATTCTTCTCTAGCCAGACCAGTAAATGATGCTGATTATGCATTATTTCTTATTTCTCTTATTCCTTATGTCTCTTATTTCTTCTTCCTGTAACTATCACCATGCACCTACCTGTATTGAATTACATTTGTTTTAGCTCCCCCGATTTTTAATTTAATTAAAGTCTTTCCTGTATCTCATTCCTGCTATTTCGGACATGAATACCCACCTTTCTAGTATAATGATCAGATGACCAGTTGCTCTTGTGTATTTAAACACAGTGCTGATCCCTGGGACATTCTATCCAATACAGACTGCTGTAACTAGTACCCACTACACTCTCTTGTCATTAGTTTTTTTTTCTTTAGTCACTACTCAAGTTTGCCGAAGATGTTCATGTTTAGCAGCTCTTCATCTGGAACTTTGCTATAGACTTACTGAGGGTTTAGGTACCTGACTTGATGAGCTTCTCTTTGGTTTACTTGTGATGTCATTTGCTGAAAAGATTCTTTAAGCAATTACATACAGTACCTTTGTGTCCCTTGTGAATCTATTAACTAGATTAATTTGATGTGTTTTATTTATCTAAGTTTGTTCCAAGTCATCAAGTTTCAATATTTGCCAATTATTTACGAAAAACTAACAGGTATTTACTCGGATTTATGTCCAATGTTTTGAGTGTCTTTGCACCTAAACTCTCTTTCTCACAGTATAGCTGATCTGAGGCAGCTTGATCAGAAACAATTCATCAGTGATCTTCACCTCTCAGAATTGCTGGTTTTTCATTCAAAGACAGATCTTCACGAACATTTCTTGTACACGGCTGGGCATATCATTCTGCAGGATAAGGTAAGCAGGACCATTCTTGATCAGTGCTCCATTTGGTGGATTTTGGACAATTGGTGGCCATAAGAGTTTTCACAGCCTGAGGTTTTATCCAAGAGCTTTTGTATTTTGAATAGACAGAGGAGATGAAATACAACTGTTAAGAAAAGGTAAATGTTGTGGTGAAAGGTAGCAGTGAAGATCGAAGAATATTCTGCAGTTTTGCTTCAAAACTTTGGGGATTGAGGAGTTAATTTAAATGTTTCCTCAAGATTAAATGGTACGGCGTGATTGGATCTCCTGAATTTGTCACAGTAAGTTTGGGAGGAGTTATACTGGCACACAGATTTCCTTGATGTTAAATGGTTAGCTATCTGCACGTGAGCTGTCCTGACAGGAAAAGTGATGTGTAGAGCTTTGTTATTGGTATTTTGCAAAGGTAGATTTTAGCAGTTCTTGTGTTGCTAATGGCATAATCTTGCAAAGCTGACAGCACGTTCAAGATGCATTAATGCTGTTTATAGGAGCAGCAGTAGTTCTTTTAGCCCTTTAAGCTGTACTGTCAATCAGTTAAATCATAGCATTTTTATGTACTATCTCCATATTTCTTCAAGTCATTAGTCTCCAGAAATCCATTGATTTGTCTTGAACATGCTCACTGAGCTTTCACAGTCCTCTGGGACAGAAAATTCCAGAGATTCTTTCACCTTTGGGTGAAGACCTTCTTCATCTCAGTCTAAAATGGCCGATCCCTTTTCTAGAGTCATGAGCCTGGAGAAGCATCGTATCTACATCCAACCTGTTGTGCCCTGTCAGAATTTTGCAAATTTCAATGCGATCACCTTTTCTTCTTCAAAACTCTAGAGAATACAAATCCAGTTTCCTCAATCCCTCCTTGAAGACAACCTAACCGTCGCAAGTATTAATCTGGTCTACCTTGGTCACACTTACTCGATGCCAAATATATCCTCCCTTATATACGGGGATCAAACTGCAGAGTATTTCACATGGTCTCACCAAGGCAATTGCAGCAAGACACCACCTTTTTTTCTGAACTCAAATCACCTGTCAGTGAAGGCCCATCGACTATTTAGCATCATAGAGTTATACAGCATGGAAACACTTCAGTCTAACTAATCCATGCTGACCATAAACTAAACTGCTCCCACCTGCCTGCGCTTGGCCCATATCCCTCCAAATATTTCCTATTCATGTATTTATCTAAATGTCTTTTGAATGTTGTAACTGTACCCACATCCAGCACTTTCTCTGGAAGTTCATTCCACACACGAACCACTATCTGTGTTTTAAAAAAAAAAATTGCCTCATGTCTTTTTTAGATCTATCTCCTGTCATCTTAAAAATATGCCCCCTAGTCTCGAAATTCCCCACCCTAGGGAAAAGACACCTACCATTCACCTTATCTGCACCCCTCATGATTTTATAAACCTCTGTAAGACCACCCCTCAACTTCCTACGCTCCAGTGAAAAAAGTCCTGGCCTATCCAGCCTCTCTCTATTACTGAAACCCTCCATTTCTGGCAACATCCTGGTGAATCCCTTCTGAACCCTCTCCAGTTTAATAATATCCTTCCTATAGCAGGGTGACCAGAACTGGATGCAGTACTCCAGAAGAGGCTCACCAACATCCTGTGCAACCTCAACATAACATCCCAACTCCAGTATTCAAAGGTCTGAACAATGAAGGCAAGTGTGCTAAATGCCTTCTTAACCACCTCTGTGATGCAAACTTCAAAGAATTATGTACCTGAACCAAGGACTCTCTGTTCTACAACATTGACTAAGGCCCTACTTTTAATTGTATAAGTCTTGTCTTTGTTTGTTTTACCAAATGTAATACCTCACATTTATCCAAATTAAACTCCATTTGCCACTCTTCAGCCCACTGACCTAATTGATCAAGATCTCTTTGTAATCTTAGATAACCTTTTCACTGTCCACTATACCACCAGTGTAAGTTTCATAAGCAAACTTAATAACTATGCTTCCTAAAATGACAGACAAAAGTAGGCCCAGCACCAAACCCTGTGGAACACTGCTGGTCACAGGTCTCCAGTCCAAAAAAATAACTCTACCATCACTCTCTGTCTCCTGTCATTAAGCCAATTTTGTATCCAGTTGGCAAGTTCTTCCTGAATCCCATGTGATCTAACTTTACTAATTGATCTACTATGTGGAACCTTGTCAAAAGCTTTACTAAAGTCCAAGTAAACAATGTCTCCACTCTGCCTTTGTCAGCCTCCTTGATTACTTTCTCAAAAAAGTCAATCTAGTTTGTGAGACACTATTTCCCTCGCACAAAACCATGCTGACTATCCCTAATCATTCCTTGCCTTTCCAAATGCATATAAATCCTATCTTTTAGAATCACTTTCACCAACTTACCCACTAACTGAAGTTAGATACAGGTCTGTAATTCTCAGGCTTCTCCTTGCATCCCTTCATAAACAAAAGCACAACATTAGCCACTGTCTAAGTCATTCGGAAACTCACCTATTTATAGATGATACAAATATTTTTGCAAGGGGCCCTGTAATTTCCTCCCTAACCTCCCACAAAGTCCTGGGATACACTAGATCAGGTTTTGGAGATTTATCCATCATTATAATCTCTAAGACCTCCAGCACTTCCTCTTCTGTAATGTGAACTGTTTTCAAAACATCAGCATTTATTTCCCTGAGTTCCCTAGCCTCCGTTTCTTTATCCACAGTAAAAACTGTTGCAAAATATTAATTTAATATCGCTCCCATCTCCTGAGATTTAACACACAACCTGTTTGATCTTTATGGCCTACTCTCTCTCTCTTTCTTGTTTTTATCTTGCTAATTTCTTGCAGCACGTTTTAGTGATCCTTGGACAAGGACACCCAGGTCCCTTTAGTCACCTGAGTTCTCAACCTCTCACCATTTAAGAAGTATTCTGCTTTCCTGTTGTTTTTCTACCAGACTGGATAACCTTCACACTTGTGTACATCCTATTCCATTGACCATGTTCTTGGATTATCCATATATCTTCCTCATTAATCGTATTCTCAGCTGGTTTTGTGTCATCAGCAATTTGTCTGTTAGCCAGTTCTCAATCTGTAATAGTACATTATCTCTAATCCTTTGTGTTACTAAGCTTCTGTGCACAATCTTATCAAAAGTCTTCTGGAAATCCAAGTGCACAACATCTACTGATTCTCCTTTATCAATGCTACGAGTAATATCCTCAAAAAAAACTACAACAGCTTCATCAAACATGGTTTCCCTTCCCTTCTCTTCCAAATATGAAGTCCCAGAACTTCTGAAGAAGGGTCACTGGTCCCAAAATATTAACTCTTGTTTTCTGTCCACAGATGCTGCCAAACCCGCTGAGTTTCTCTAGGAATTTCTGTTTTTGTTTCATATCTCCAGTATCTGCAGTTCTTTTGTTTTTATACGTAAACTTAAACTGCCTGTTTATTACTCTATTACCCATGTAAAATGCATTTCCCAATCTCTTGATTTGTACCATGTCCATCATTTCCACTTCTGTTTGGTGGCAGCAAAACAAACCCATCCCCTGTTTGTCGCCTCTTGCTGTTTCTTAGTTCCACTCAAACAGATTCTATATTTTGACCCTTCAGTTCTTCACCCTTTAGCCACATTTTTGCAATGACAATTAAATCATATCAATTTGCTCTGATTTGTGCCTTTATATCATCAGCCTTTTTGTAAATGCTACATGTATTTAGATATAATACCTTTAATGTGAGCAATATTCTCCGTTCTGATCCTATTTAATGCTTGCCTTTGGTTCATTCATGGTGGACTTGAGTCTGTATAAGCTTTAGTTTCTCTGAGAAGTTTTTGCTGTGGTATGGGGCATGCCTAGTGAATGAATTATTCACTGTAGTCAAGTTTCCTGGGCAGATTTGACTCATGTATAATGAGCATCTCAATTTCCTCTTCCCTTCTTTCCAGGCCAGTTGTCTACCAGCATATTTCTTGAACCCTCCAGTAGGTTCTCATGTGATTGATGCATGTGCAGCTCCTGGGAACAAGACAAGCCACCTTGCTGCTATTCTCTGTAATAAAGGGTAAGTCTTGCTGCATGTGTCAAAGAAAAAGATGGATACTTGGGGGAAAGTGGTTCATTTTGCAAAAACAAACTTCCTGCTCCCATTAGAGCTGGATCTGTTTTCTCAGGTGGCTTTGGAACAGAAACACTTCTGTTATAACGCGTTACTATTTAAAGCAATCTCATTTTAAACTGAAACTCTGCGGCTAGCAATGACATTCCAATGCTGAGAATATCACTGGAACTATCATTGCTGGGATGAGGGGCAGCCTGGATTGTACTGTGAAAGCATCATGGGGAAAGACAATTCAGGACAAACGTGGAAACTCCATTGAACTGTGGGGAGAGAAGGAGAGAGAGAAACATCAGGTTTACAGGATTTGGTGTAACTTTTAATACTGTGCCTGTGCAATTTGCATGAAAAATAAGATTGATGACCCATAAATGTGTACAATATTGGAGGCCAGTTGGATCATTGTACTTAGGCTGGCTGTTCCATTCCAAAAAATTATTTATGGAGCTCCAATTTATCCTTAGCTTAAAATATTTATCCAGTATTCACTTAGACACTGCTTTAATCACTTGTTATTTCCCAACAATCCTCATATAAAGATATTTCTCTTAGCCTCTCTCCTGCCTCTGCCATTAGGGCCAATTGACACTGAAAACTACACACTGCATTCTACCTGCAGTCTTAACACTGCCTGCTGCAAACTTATCACTACTGCTTTACTTTCATATTCTGTGTCTTTATTTAAAAACCCAAAATACCATTGGCCCATTCTATCTTAACTACACTTACAAGGGAATGGTTGAATTTTTACCAGCACATAAATTAGTTTTTATCTATTACACTTATTCGCATGTACAGCACTTGCACCAGGGAATCTTTTAATTGTGTAGGGTCCACAGCCACCCTCTCGCATTGACCATCTCTTGTCTGTGTCTGTATTCCCTATATCTCACCCATAAGGTTTTCTGGCTTATTCAGCATTTATCTTTTCAACGGTCCCTTCCTTCTCAGTCCTTCTCTTCCATCTGATTTGATTTTCCACTCCACGCAACATAGGAAGCTGCAGTGGGGGAAAAAAATGTGGTAGTTTCTATTTGAAACAGAGGGCGGGGAGCGGGTAATGTGACACCATAAACAAGGGCAAGGGAGACTGCAACTTGGTAAATTGCTTATGAAATAGACCATTTAGACACGTGCTAATAACACTCTGGGTTACAAACTGTGTCCTGTTATATGTCTTCACCTGTTTTGTCTGTTTTGGAAATACCAAAGATGACTGCTTTCATCTATTAAGGAAACTCTTTGCCTTTGATCTTGATACCAAACGTTTGGCTACAATGGGCACTCTGCTGTTGAGGGCTGGAGTAACATGCCATGAACTGGCCAATCAGGACTTCACGCTTGTGGATCCCAGCAACCCCAAGTACCAGGATGTGAAGTATATTCTAGTGGACCCATCATGCAGTGGTTCTGGTGAGGAGACTCTCCTTTATTACCGGCTGACTGCCAGGATGGTGGTTTTGTATCCTGTTAGAGAGGTGCTCTGGAGAGGGGAGGAGGGAAGACTTGATGCGATTAAATTTTTGGATTCTGTTGTGCTGCACTTGAAGATGGGTTTGGAGGGCTTTTTTGAATAATTTACCCTTCTCTATCTCAGTAGTCTAGATTACAGTTAACCTAGTCCAAAACTGAGAGATATATTCTAAAACGTCTGGTACTATTCCTGTCTGTAAATGATTCTCCACAATTACTGAGCTGTCACTTTTGGACTGTGTGCTTCAAAGTGGGCCCAGGTTTGTCCACTGTTGGAGGACTGGGAAAATATCATCTTAGATCACAGCTTTGTGGCTTCAAAAACTAAGAAGCAGATGGATAAATTTGTATTTTCGTAAAACTGAAAGATTTCACTCTGCTTGCATTATGAATCATAGCAGCATAGAAAATAGGAGGAATAGGTCTTTCAGCCCTGCTCCACCATTCAGTGTGATCATGGCTAATCATCCAGTACACTCCCCTGTTCCAATTTCTCCCTATACTTTTTGATCCTTTTAGCTCCTAGAACTATATTCAACTCCTTGAAAACACGTAGTGCTTTGGCCTCAACTGCATTCTGTGCCAGAGAATTCCACAGGCTCACCATTCTCTGGGTGAAGATATTTCTCCTCACCTCAGTCCTAAATGGCCTACCTCTTAAGACTGTGAGGCCTAGACTGTGAAGCATTCTTCAAAGGGAGAGTTCGAAACAGTACAGGGATGGAAAAAGCAAGACCAAAGAACTGTTTTGTGCACTGAGTCCTTGAGATGTTTGAGAACAAGAAAAGAGTTAACACCCCAGCTTCCTCCACCCTTTGACATTCCCCTACTAGGAAAATATTTGATGAGTGGTGGAATTGAGCTGGAGATGTGAGAAGAAAACTGGAAAAAGTAGTTCATCACTCTTAGTTAGTAAAAACAAAACAGCAGGTGCTGGACATCTGAAACTAAAACAGAAATTGCTGGAGAAGCTCCGTAGGTCTGAGAGCATTTGTACAGAGAACAACCGAGTTAACCTTTTGAGTCCAGTGACTCTTTGTCAGAACTGTTGGTATTAGAATGTTTTCTATAAGCATGAATCTCTGAAATATTGATCCCTTAAACAGCTGCACAACCTGAGGTACACTGTTTTACCTGATGCACTCTGAATAGCTCTGTTGTCAGAAATTAATTTTATCCCCAGGCACTGAGAGGCTCTTCATCACTTTTTTTTTCTAAAACAAGGAATTGTAAACCGCTTGAACCAGCTCACAGATGATGAGGAGTCATCATCTACACAGCGCCTGCAGGCACTTGCGAGTTTCCAGTGCGAAGCCCTCAGCCATGCCCTGCGCTTCCCAAACGTGGAACGGGTCATTTACTCAACATGTTCAATTCATCATGAAGAGAACGAGGATGTTGTCGAGGAGATACTACAGCAACACGGCAACCGAATCAGGTAGACACCCCGTGCTCTTCCACGAGAAGTTCAAGGCAGTGACCTTCGTTGAGATAATCTCAGGGAAAGGTTAACGTCATTTCACAAGCAGTTACATTCTTTTGCTCTCAAATGGATCTTTGACGTTCTGAAATACCTCCTCTATGCTGAAAGATCAGGATTGTAAAGTTGAGGACATTTTTGCCAATTTTTCTCTTTTCTGCCATGACCTGGAAAAGACCAGTTACGCTCTGGCCTCTCACTCAAGTAGTCACTGGCTAGTAAGTGTTATTCATATGAAAAAGACTAAAGGCTGTGTTTGACCCAAGTCTGATTCTGTCCTTGCTTATGTTAACAGGCACACCTTTTAACAGGAATCAATGACTGGCAGTCTGGCCTGAATTTTAATTTGATTTATTATTGTCATGTGTACCGTGATACAGTGAAAAGTATTGTTTTGCATGTACTAACCAAACATATCATACCTTACATAAGTACATCAGGGTAATAGAACAGAATATAGTGTTACAGCTACAGAGGAGGTGCAGAGAAACATCAACTCTAATGTGGAAGAGGCTGGGCAGCTTTTATAAATGTGTTCCTCAGCTGTAATGGCTTCCCATGCCCCTCTCTTAGATCAGTTGTTTGGCTTTCTTTACCTTAATTCTTTGCAACCATTATTGTAGAAACCATTGGATATGCAGCATGTCAAACATGGTCCTTCTGATAGTTATGTTCAAGGCTGCAACTTACTGGCTAAATAGGAGAATCTGATGAATGTAGCATTTTGAGATGTTTGAATGAAATTAATTAAGATTTGAGAGTTTTATTGGGAAAAAAATTAATTTGCAAGTTTTTTTTTAAAAATACGTCAGGAACCCAGTGCCTGGGTGACTTCCTGGTTCTGATTGTGAAAAATGCAAATTATTGAATGCAAGAATCCCCATTGGACAGGAGATGAGCTTGATGCCCAGTTAGTAGCATCAAGCTCCTCCAGGAAATGGGAACTGCCTGCCTGATGCCAACAGCAAAGGCAGATGGCAGCCATGTTGAAGCGGTTCTGACTTGAGCAGGCAGCTCCTCAACAAGGGGCAGCTGAACCTACTGCAATGGAAAATCACCATGCAGCAGATTGTTCAGATTCTGCGAGGAAAAACCTTGAAAATTGCAATTCCTTTGATCCTATAGCAGCTTATTAATGGGCCATTAACTGGCAGTGAGCAAATTCTTTGTGGGCATGACAGTTAGAATCTTTGAGATCTACCATTTAACATGGAGATGAAAAGAAATATATTCACTTAAGAGATTGTGACTCTTTGGAATTCTCTTCTCCAAAGAGCGGTAAATGTTTTGTCATCAGGTACATTCAAGACAGAGGTCATTTGGTCTTTTGGGGTTGAAATGAATTACAGAATCTAGAGAAAATTGCTCATTCTCTACTAAGCTGATCCAATTGTTGACTAAAAGAGAAGGTAGAATTCTGTTTTAACATTGCCTTAAAACCTCTAGTCATTTCTTTGCACAGCAATTACCTTCTAAATAATGAAAGCTGCTTCTAGTTTACACAGTAAATTAACATAGAACATAGAACATTACAGCGCAGTACAGGCCCCTCAGCCTTCGATGTTGCACCGACCCGTGAAACCAATCTGAAGCCCATCTAACCTAAGCTATTCCATTATCATCCATATGTTTATCCAATGACCATTTAAATGCCCTTAAAGTTGGCGAGTCTACTACTTTTGCAGGCAGGGCATTCCACGCCCTTACTACTCTCTAAGTAAAGAACCTACCTCTGACATCTGTCCTACATCTATCACCCCTCAATTTAAAGCTATGCCCCCTCGTGCTAGCCATCACCATCCGAGGAAAAAGGCTCCCACTGGTCCACCCTATCTAATCCTCTGATCATCTTGTATGTCTCTATTAAGTCACCTCTTAACCTTCTTCTCTCTAACGAAAACAGCCTCAAGTCCCTCAGCCTTTCCTCATAAGACCTTCCCTCCATACCAGGCAACATCCTGGTAAGTCTCCTCTGCACCATTTCCAATGCGTCCACATCCTTCCTATAATGCGGTGACCAGAACTGTACGCAATACTCCAAGTGCGGCCGCACCAGAGTTTTGTACGGCTGCAACATGACCTCATGGGTCCGAAACTCAATCCCTCTACCAATAAAACCTAACATACCGTACGCCTTCTTAACAACGCTATCAACCTGGGTGGCAACTTTCAGTGATCTATGCACGTGGACACCGAGATCTCTCTGCTCATCCACACTACCAAGAATCTTACCATTAGCCCAGTACTCTGTATTCCTGTTACTCCTTCCAAAGTGAATCACCTCACACTTTTCCGCATTAAACTCCATTTGCCACCTCTCAGCCCAGCTCTGCAGCTTATCTATGTCCCTCTGTAACCTGCACCATCCTTCCGCACTATCCACAACTCCACCGACTTTGGTGTCATCCACAAATTTACTAAGCCATCCTTCTACGCCCTCATCCAGGTCATTTATAAAAATGACAAACAGCAGTGGCCCCAAAACAGATCCTTGAGGTACACCACTAGTAACTGAACTCCAGGATGAACATTTCCCATCAACCACCACCCTCTGTCTTCTTACAGTTATCTAATTTCTGATCCAAACCGCTAAATCACCCTCAATCCCATGCCTCCGTATTTTCTGCAATAGCCTACCATGGGGAACCTTATCAAATGCTTTACTGAAATCCATATATACCACATCAACCACTTTACCCTCATCCACCTGTTTGGTCAAAACATAATTAACATAATTGCTTTATTGGATCAGAGATACTACGTGGAGGTGGCATTGAGATAAACCATGATCTTGGTGAATGGTGAAGGAGGTTCAGTTGGCCAATGTTTTATTCTGCTTCTATTTCTTACGTTCTTATGAGCGGCATAAAATTTAAGTTTGAGTAATAGCTGGACTTAACATATGATATCAGCAAGTCCATGGTTTGGTTATATATTTTAGTGCAACTTCAGTAACTTAATTGTGTTGGACTAAACCTTAAGTCAAGAGAAACTAGTTCAAGATTCCTGGTTTGTGTTAAGGTTTAACCTTAGCTGGGGTTTAGTAATTGACCTCCTAGAAGGAGATCAATGTTCTCATCCATGATTCTAATGGATTGGGGCAAGAGGGGATCAGACTTGGCTGTGATTGCTTCCACATTTGAATTATCCATCAACTGTACCTAGGTTCACAGTCAAAAAATAACTATGCCTGAGATGCTTGAAGGCTGCCAAGGAGACCAGATTCCAACAAGCATTGGTGCCTCTCTAGGAGGGGAATGTAAGGACCAGCAAAGTAGCAAAGTGAGAACAAGCTGCTGAAAATTACTGTGTTTCAGGATTTTTTCTGTTTGTGTTCCTGTTTTTTCCCTTATAGGCTAGTCAATCTGATGCCCTCATGGCCATTGCGTGGTCTGGACACATTCCCGGAAGGTCCGTGGTGTATCCGCGCGACACCCAACGACACCTTGACCAATGGGTTTTTTGTTGCCATGTTTGAAAAGCAGCTTGGAGAGAAAGGGTCCGAGCATAGCAGAGAAAGGTACAAATTGCACACTCTCCACAAAAACCTGATTAGTCACCACCTTAAAGGACATTATTCCATGATGTTAGTTTCCATGATGGCAGTGTCCTTTCCTAAAAGACATTAGTGAACCCATCTGGTTTAGGTAAG